ATATTTTGGAGAGAAAAAAAAAAGATATATATATATATATATATATATATATACACACAGACACAGACAGACACACACACACAGTTTAAAAGCAAAAGATCTCTCTCTCTCTATCTCTCACCCTCTCTCTCCTGCGCGCACACACACACACTCCAGCATTGCAATCTTGACATCGCAGCCTGTTCATTATGCTGCGTTCACACCAAACGTGAATAGAGCGAAATTTATCGCTATTTAGACTGAATAGATGATGAAGGAATATTTTGTGTAAAAGCGCCTATTTAAGCCAATCTGTCATTATACTCTTTTGTTGAAGTGTTTTCCATGAAGAATAATAGGCTATTGAACTCACAATTCAAGCAATCGGCCCCAGAAAAGACGCTATTTTTGAAATGAAACTAACGGCTGCACGGGCATTCATAACACACACCGTTCGATCGCGCCCGCGCACCCCTCCCTCTCTCTCTCTCGTGCGCGCACACACACGCACACACACACAATTCAGCGCAGCATTGCAATCTTGACATCGCAGCCTCTTCATTATGCTGCGTTCACACCAAACGCGAATAGAATCATTATACTCTTTTGATTAAGTGTTTTCCATGAAGACTAATAGGCTATTGAACTCACAATTCAAGCAATCAGCCCCAGAGGCGCCAAAGGCGCTAATTTTGAAATGAAACTAACGGCTGCACGGGCATTCATAGTGGTGCGCGTCCACGGCGATGAGCGAGCAGAAGAGCGAACGTTTTTTAGTTCATTCCTACTTCCATAGGAATTCCCTCGAGCGCTCTGCAAGCGCCACCATTATCAATGTCCATGTTTGGACGTCCGTATTTAAAAGCTCTCGGTCCTCAGTCACATACCAAATATGTATATAATTTTGGACACAAGAGGGCAGTATGGCCCTATGTATGAGTTGGTGTTTAAACTAAACTATCACTCGAAGAGTGATATATATATACATATATATATATATGTGTGTGTATATTTATATAAAGATACAGAGAATATTACTTGCTTTACCTGATTAGAATGCTACCTTGAAAAACAATAATTTAAATTAAATCTCACCCAAAAGAGAAATCCCCCTGCCACCTCCCCACACAGGATTGTCCTCAAACAGAGCACTAATCTGTTTATTTTTAAAGGGGTCATATAATGCCATTTTTGTACAAGCTAATATGATTCTTTAGGGTCTAAATTAAAAGTTTGTAATATACTTTAATTAAAAATTAAATATTGTAAGAAAACACTTATTTTACCTGTAGGGGTGTAACGGTACACAAAAATCACGGTTCGGTACGTACCTCGGTTTTAAAGTCACGGTTCGGTACGTTTTCGATACAGCAAAAAGTAAGAAATGCCAGAGAAATTTCCTATTTGTTAAAAGAAAAAATATTTTTTAAATAAGTGTGAGTTTTCCTACATCTTGAAACTTTCAGGTTTATAAATGGGTGTCATCTTTGAAGGATGAACAAATAATGTTTTGGTAATCACATTAAAAATAACATTTAAATATATGAAGAGTTCAGATGCAAAAGCCATTTGAAATTTTCTCCTAGAATTATCATTTTTATCAAGCTTGTATATTTAAGTTCAGTAATTTCACTTAAATGGCAATGAAGATTACCTATTAATTGTCATTTGAGTGAAATTACTGAACTTAAATATACAAGCTTCATAAAAATGATAATTCTAGAAGAAAATTTCAAATGGCTTTTGCATCTGAACTCTTCATATATTTATTTATATAATATTTGAGTTTTGAAGTGCTGGAAAAAGATGTGTGAAGTACTTGAAAGCATTTCATTTCACTATTCCAGCCAAACTGGTTACATTTAGTGTTACTATATTAAATCCATGGTGAATGTTGCTGGTCTGTGGACGTAAAGTATTACTAGTTCATTCACGGCACACTATTTCTCCTGGTGTCCACGTCAGCGCTGTTTGATCTAATAGAGATCTACGGTTAATAACGGAGAAATGTGAATGCTTCTCACTAGATCTCGCAGCGATGTCATTACTTCAGTGGCGAATTCAAATGTTTTCTTCCCTGGATCTCTCAGCGCTGTGAGCTCCAGCATATCAACAATGACCGCGCCGGTCCACGCGGACTATGATTGACAGCTAGCTCACGAGCGAGGGTGGGTCTGTGTTGAAACGCGGCTGTCAATCAACAATCGTGGGAGGGGCGTGCGAGCTTGTGACGTCACAGGCTCGAACGGCTTGATTTGAGGCAGGGGAAAACATATAAGGAGATTAAAACAAAACCACTGGATGGATTTTTATCATTATATGATGGCTGTGTACAGACACTGCCAACACACATTTGAGTACAATCAACTTGTAAAAGTGCATGTACCATTATATGACCCCTTTAAGATACACATTCTACATTGATTAAAAAATAAACATCAAATGTGTTTTTAGTCAGAGTATTATTTTATACAGAAAAAAAAATATGTGTAATTCAGATGAGAATGAGGTTAGTGTTTTAAAATTTTAAGGAAAACAAATATATTGAAATATAGCACATGAATTTTAAATTCATTCAGCTTCAATTACCAATACAATCTTACTTTTATTTAAAGCAAACTATACATTTAAAAGATGGGGGTTATATGCATATTTTGTCATTTAAAAAGAAATACAAAATTGTTATGCAAAAAGACAAGGACTTAGAGATTTCTTTATCCTTTAATGCAGGAAAAATCATACCAGCCACACACACACACATAAACACAGACACCAACCCTCCCTCCACTCCCCTCCCCTCCACTCCCCTCCCCTCCCCTTCCCTCCCCACACAGACACACACACACACACACACAAACACACAGAGAATGGCAGGGGGACAATAAATCCATTCAAACTACAATATCTGACTTTCTGTTGCTCAGAGCTAATGACTTTAAATTAGAAAATTGATCGGCTTGATGAGAACAATATGCGTGGCAAGTTTTGTAACTGTAGGTAAAACGAGCTAAGTTATAACACACTTTATGTGTCCTTTTTTAGTCATAAAATTAATTTCCTCGCCACGACCAAACCGTTCGAGATATCAAAAATCCCTCCGGAATTTAGCATCCTCAATGTCTTGACTTCATGCTGACCGAGTTTGCTTGAAATCCGATCAATTCCCAAGGAGAATTAAATATAATTTCAGGGGTATGCGTTTCCAAACAAACCATGATAGCCGGCTTCCTGTTGGGATGTCGTAAAACTTAGAGCACGAAAGTTGTTCATCCCAAAGAGATCTATAAGTGTACCGAGTTTCATATTATTACATGCAAGTGTCTTTGATTTATGGACAAGTGTTCGAATCCCAGTCCAGGGGGCGCTGTCGGTCCGCCCTGCCACGCCCGGGTACCAGCTTCAGTCCGGCCCTGATGGCCGCGGGTTCTGACCCGTGTGCAAAGTTTCAAGAGTTTTAGAGGATGTTAAGGGCCCCAAAAGCCCTCGAAACCTGTCTCAACAATAATTAAAAGCATTGTCACTCAAACAGACACATCCCCCTCCCCCCACAGACACAGAGGTACGCAGAGAGAGGGAGAGAGGGACAGAGATTACTCCAAAGCATCCACATTCAAACCAAAATATCTGACTTCCTGTTGTTCGGAACCAAAATCTGTAAATTAGAAAGTTGTCCGGCTTGATCTGAACAATATGCCTACCGAGTTATAAGATTGCAGGTAAAACTATGAAACTAACCATCTCACTTTTGTCAAAAGGTGGCGCTACTGAGTCCCTGCACCACGCCCGTTTCTGAAACTTTGCACATGTCTACTGGCTAATAAATGTGACGTGTCTGTCGAGTTTCATGCAATTTCAAGCATGCTAAGAGTCTCAAAAGCATCAAAAAAGAATTTTAAAGTTTGATGTGTTGCCACGGCAACAGTATCAAAGATATCAAGAATCCATTCACAGGTCTACATCTGGCGTGTGTTTACATTATACAGATGAAGTTTGAAGCAAATTGGGTTAAAATAAGAGGGTGATTTCGAAGCATTTTGAAAGTGACACACTTCCTGCTGCCAGTTGGTGGCGCTATAACTTTGACTCACAATAGTCACATCCATGTGATCGCCCTCTTACAGCGAACACACTGCTGAAGTTTCATTAAGATCAGTTAATGTATGCAGAAGTTATAACACACTTCCTGTTTCACGTTTCTCGCCATAATTTCGTTTCCTCGCCACGGCCAAACCGTTCGAGATATCAAAAATCCCCTCGCAATTTTTCATCCTCAATGTCTTGACTTCATGCTGACCGAGTTTCGTGGCATTTCTTTGAATTCTCTAGGAGAAGTACTTTAAATTCCATTGCATGCGTTTTACAAACAACCCTAAATAGCCGACTTCCTGTTGGGCTGGGGTAAAAAGTAAGAGTATGAAGTATATATGAACTGATGAGATCTATATGTGTACCGAGTTTCATATTCTTACATGCAAGCGTGTTTGATTTTTGGACCAAGTTTTCGGACCCCGTTCCAGGGGGCGCTGTCGAGCCCCCCTGCCACGCCCGGGTACCAGCTTCAGCCCGGCCCTGATGGCCGCGGGTTCTGACCCGCGTGCAAAGTTTCAAGAGTTTTCGGGCACGTTAAGGGCCCCAAAAGTGCCCGAATAGTCGTAAGAAAAATAAAAGAGGAGAAAAAAAAAAAAAATCCTTAGGAAAACAATAGGGCCTTCGCCCTTTGGGCTTGGGCCCTAATAATCCTTAGGAAAACAATAGGGCCTTCGCCTTTTCAAGGCTTGGGCCCTAATAATCCTTAGGAAAACAATAGGGCCTTCGCCTTTTCAAGGCTTGGGCCCTAATAAAGCTTGGTTTGTTTGAACATAATTACCTTGTTAGCATTATCTCAGGGAGGGTTCATTAAGAGCCACGCCCTAATCTGATACGAATATAAATGAAGATCAGGTGGGGGGTTTGGCATAGCTGCACAGGTGAGCTGGTCTCTTTCAGAAAAGTAAAAGTTAATAACTTCTGGGCGCTTAGTTTGTGTTTTATATTTCCAGGGTTTGAAGGCTCAGAATTAATTCCTACTTGCTGTGATACTCGAGCATAATGGTGAGATTATTGATTGTCACCTTCACTTTATTGTTACTGCTTAACCTCTTCACCGTGTGAATGTTGTGTGTTTGCTTGTTTTGGCCAAACCAGAGGGAGTGCATTTCCATACATATTGGTCAAGCAGGTGTCCAGATGGGTAACTCTTGCTGGGAGTTGTATTGCTTGGAGCACGGCTTCCAGCCAGATGGGACCATTGTTGGAGATGGCAGCTTATTGGCAGACTCCTCTTTTGGCACTTTCTTCAGTGAAACGGGTGCTGGGAAGCACGTTCCTCGTGCAATGTTCATTGATCTGGAGCCGACAGTTGTTGGTGAGACTGAACTCCATTCAGGCTTTTTATCTTATTCCTTTTCAAAACTTGTGTTGCTGTACTTCCAGTTTAGCTTATATCCTTATCTCTTTTGTTTGAAATGCAGATGAGATCCGCAATGGACACTATCGACAGCTGTACCACCCTGAGCAGCTCATCAGTGGCAAGGAGGATGCCGCCAATAATTATGCTCGTGGTCACTATACCATTGGCAAGGAGATCGTAGACTCTGTGCTCGACCGGATGCGCAAAATGGTGAGTTTTCACTCTTCAACTTTAAAGCTTGTTCATGGAATTGCAGATACTAATGTTGATAGTGTTCTTCACTCTTAGAAAAATTGTTTTAAGACTGAGAAGTTCTTTGGGAACCCAAAATGGTGGTTCTTTGGCATTTATTTTGAACACCCGTCACTTAAGTGTGTGGTGACTCCTTTTAAAGACCTCTGCAAGATTACTGGCAGTATTTGAATACCCACTTCTCCCTTTTCCCTCTGATTCCTCTCTAGGCGGACCAGTGCACCGGTCTGCAAGGGTTCCTGATCTTCCACAGTTTTGGTGGTGGAACCGGCTCTGGTTTCACTTCTCTGCTGATGGAGCGACTATCTGTCGATTACGGTAAAAAGTCAAAGTTGGAGTTTTCTGTATATCCTGCCCCGCAAGTCAGCACGGCTGTGGTTGAGCCCTACAACTCGATTCTCACGACCCACACCACTCTCGAGCACTCGGACTGTTCCTTCATGGTGGATAACGAAGCCATCTTCGACATCTGCAAGCGAAACCTCGATATCGAGCGCCCCTCATACACTAACCTGAACCGGCTCATCGCCCAGATTGTGTCCTCCATTACTGCGTCACTGCGCTTTGACGGCGCCCTAAATGTTGACCTCACGGAGTTCCAGACAAACCTGGTCCCGTACCCTCGCATTCACTTTCCACTGGTCACCTACGCCCCTATCATTTCAGCTGAAAAGGCCTACCATGAGCAACTCTCCGTACCGGAAATCACCAATTCCTGCTTCGAGCCAGCAAACCAGATGGTGAAGTGTGACCCTCGCCGGGGAAAATACATGGCCTGCTGTTTGCTGTACCGTGGTGACGTGGTTCCGAAAGATGTCAACGCCGCCATAGCCAACATCAAGACTCGGCGCTCCATCCAGTTTGTAGACTGGTGTCCTACTGGGTTTAAGGTGGGAATCAACTACCAGCCGCCCACCGTTGTGCCAGGAGGGGATCTGTCCAAAGTGCAGAGAGCCGTGTGCATGCTAAGCAACACCACCGCCATCGCAGAGGCATGGGGACGCCTGGACCACAAGTTTGACCTGATGTACGCGAAGAGGGCTTTTGTTCACTGGTACGTGGGTGAAGGGATGGAGGAAGGAGAGTTCTCGGAGGCTCGGGAAGACATGGCTGCCCTGGAGAAAGACTATGAGGAGGTTGGTGCCGATTCCACAGAGGACTGTGGGGAGGAGGATGAAGAATTTTGAAGATGATAAATGTATTTGTAATTGAGTAAATAAATTTGAGAGCATTAGAACTTGTTGCTTCTATGACTAGTTTTGCCTTCATGACCTTGTTCACACGTGGTTGTTTGTGTCCTTGGGCATTTAGGGAACATGATTGAGCCACAGTTCAGCTGAAGTCACATTTCATAGTGGCGTGGGTTTCATGCATGCCAAATTATCGGGTTTGATTAAATGTAACCGTCAGTTACTTATGGTTTCTAACTGCTTAAAGCCTCTTTGTGAACCCATTCCAAAAAATATGCTCAAATTTAAAGTTTATCTACCTTTTATTTCCAATGCTGGAGGAGGAAAAACCGCATGATATTATATGAAACTTGGAGTTTGCTGGATATGGGGGCAAAGAACACAAATGGCTCAAAGTGCTGCAGTATTATTGTCAGGGGCCATCTTGAAACATTGAGTCCATTTATTCCACAAATGGCGAGAGGCCAAACGCAGAAACCAAATGAAATCTCACTGATACCTCGTGTCCACCAAAAAAGAACTGGTTTGGAACTGGTGCTGGTTCAAAGTTGGTTCAACTTGCGAACCTTCTCAGAACCTGTTTGTTTTCCCACTGTCTAGAGAGCCCAGCGAACGACGTCGTTACGTCACTGTGTATGTCGCCATACGTCTTAGCTTTCCCATTCCCGTCGTGTTGTTGTTCACAGTAACCCGCCCCCGACGTAAGCATGACGTGGTAAAAGAACGGTTCTAGTCCAGCAAAGAGTTGGTGCTGCTTTGGAACCAATTTTCCTGGCCGAGAACTGGTTCTTTGGCTGTCGATACAAAGAACTTGTTCTTGAGTAGGAACCGGCTCTCAAAATGCTTTGGTGGAAAAGGGGTATGAGTAGAACTGCCACAGTAAATCTGCTTCATATTAAGAGATTACAGGGGTGTAAAGAGTACCTGAAAACTATGTAAGTAACAGTACAGATGCCTTCCAGTAAAAATGACTCCATTACATGTCACCATTTCATGACCTCTTTAGTAAGTCGAAGCCTGATTTCAGACCGGGCTTGGATTCATGTGATCATTTTTCATATGTAACATGCACTGTTCATTCTGTCACCTTTTTCAATTTATAACATCTTATTCATGTTATTCACAAATTTGACTTGTGGACTAAGCCCTTATTTGGGAAACCACCTCCATCTAATGGTCATATTCTTTCTTTTAGCTTGGCCATCCCAGACACCTCCCTGTGAATTTATAAGGCAGTTTAAACAATTTTATTTGAGAAATATTATCAAAAATGTCTTCATGTAGACATTTTGTAAGAAGTGTTCTAAGAAAATGCAAATAAAATATGTACTATATGCACAAATCAACTGCTAGTGGAAGTTTAAAAGACAAACTATGTAGAAAGAAAAGTCATAAAGCCATTGCTAATAACTCAATTATGACAAGTCAATGCAGTCAGCTGCATTTTTGTAGGCTACCCTATTTCTTCAGACACATTCAGAAAGTGGGTCCCACTTTGAAACTATGACATTAATTGGTTTCATTACAGGTGAGTGACAATTCATCTATATCTGCTGCCTGTCTTCATTGGTAGACTAGCCGCTTCATATCCCGAGGCCATAGGAAATGGCCTTTTCTGCCTATAGGTAGAAAAAAAACCACATTATTTAATTGTGCTTTTGTGATAAATCTGTTATTAATGGCCAGTTTGTAGTGATTTGAAGTGTAATGATTTTTTTTCCATCTAAAAATGGACATTATTTTGGAAAATCACAAACCCACTCAAGTATTAACCAGTATCTGTATTGGTAAAATCGTAACAAAACGTATTGGTATCACATCACCCATCCCTACTTCAGAGCGGTATGTCATATCCCATAATTCATTACATTCAGGAACTTACGTGCCCTGTTTTTGCGACATAGGAAAACTTTCCAGTGTAGGTTAAATTAATTAGATATTACAACTTGTGTTGGAAATGTTAGTGTTGCAGCGACGAGTTTGTATTTTGACTGCTTTTTACTAAACTAGAATCACCACAATTAAATTGCGTTTGATGCATAAGGAATGAACAGACATTTTAAAGTTTAATTTAAGGAGTGTCCACTTGAATACTTGGGCCCAATACAGGAAATATGTCATGCAAATAGAAAAGTGCTCAAGTGCAAAAACCACAAGTGTGGGTACTGGCACAGGCCCTTGTTTTAGTTTTTTTTATTCAGGTAAATTGGGGCACATTTTGCCATTGAGTTGTCTAAGAAAACAAGACAACTAATTAATTAACCCTAATTAAGTGCATCATTGGAAAACTGAAGGAATTTGGATTTTTCAATGTGAACAACACACTACTCGCACTATTTATACTAGAAAACAGCATAGAATAATGCACAAGTACACAAACTAGGACACGCATGCATTCCACGGCTCCAGAGTGATTAGTCACATGACATTTACAGTTTGGGTAATTGGCTCAAAACAACTTTGCAGCAGAACTGAGTACCTATGGCAAAGATGTTAGACTTCTTGCACTTCTGAGGGTCCTGCGGCAGAACAACAGGCATCGAGAAGAATGGAAACTGAAGGACAGCTTTCTCCAGGTATTACAGACCTCTTACTCCATCTTAGTTTCAGTGCTAGAACAGATCCAGCGTTAATGCCCCCGGATCAAAAGTCCCCTTGAGATGGTTTCAAAACTGAGCTAGTTCTAGGGGACTTTCAGCAAGCATGCTTTCTGGCATTAAAGACAATTAAATGGAGTGCAACAAAACAATGAAACCCCCCCCCCCCCCCCTAAAAATAAACCTCTACACTCATTTTGAAGAAAAGCATTTATTTTGTGAGCTGAAGTTGAGTAACTTTTTTAAGTTGAACAGAGAAAACATTTCAGAAGATGGACAGTATATGAATATATAGGTCTATCTCAATTCAAAATTGGACTTTGGAAGATATTTTATATCTCCATCTCTATACAAGTGAACATAAACATGTCCAAAGAATTAAAACTTTTTTTTATTTTTTTTGATGAAAAACTGAAAGCGGTTAAGGTATGTTTTGCTTAGCAAATAATGCGACGAGCTACAATACTTTTAAATATTTATTGCCATTACTGCATCTTAACGAGACGGGCTAAAGGAAATTTGGGAGTTTGTAGGGCTCCGGTGCTTGACACGATCAGCAGGGAGTTAAAGCACCATCCTTGTTCATGGACTCTTGTCTGAGAAACTAGTCATTTTACATGCAGCCCTTAAACACGGATGCTGATGTTTTTCTCTTCTCAAAATCTTTCCAAATTCAAATGCTTACAATCATTCAAATGGTGATCAACCAACTCAATGTCAAACATGAAGGCATTCAAAAAGAAATTTAAAATAGAATAAAGGCAAGGACTTTTGGTATTCAAACTAAATACACAATGCCGACACCTTTGACCAGATAAAAAAAAAAAAAAACTGCTTTCTTAATAATCCCTTCTTTTTAAATTTTTTTACCGAAAAAATTGCATTTGTTAACAAAACTATGAACAGTTTCAAAAAATGATCACCTCTACAAATATAACATCAATAATTAAGATCCTTCATTGAACTTAGTGGAGTGCCCTCATCAGCCATGAACGACTTACAATTTCAGAAGATGAAGAAACTGTAGCATAAACCGAAATAAACGTGAAATACCAATACTTTTGGTGAAACAACCGATTTATGCTAGGGCTCAAAGTAGGTGCTAAGTGCGAAGCAAAGACCACGCTACAGAGAAACATACTCAAAACTCTGGAATAGTCGCTTTTTTCTTTCTTACATGGGTGTGGTATTTGTAGTGTCTACTTTTATATTAGTAGGCATTCTGTAAGCATTGTGTATCACTCTCATTTAGTCAAAAGGGCTGAAGTCCCTCTCTAAGTTTTCAGATTCATCGTCATCAGAAAAGAAGTCGTCGTCATCTATGTCTTCCTCGTCGTAATCCTCGTGCCACTCTGGGACGTATTCATCGTCATACTCGTCATCCTCCTCGGCTTCGTCTCCGGGGTCTTCGTTGTTGTTGTTGTCGGAGTCAGCGGACTCTGAGCCTCCTGATTTGGACCTGAAATAATAAAAGAAGTGTAAATAAATCTGCATGCGTCAGTGGCTCTTCTCTGTAAATGTGTGGAGGCTCACTCTTTGTTGGCGTCTGTGTTGTTAGCCAGATTAGAGGCCTGTGCCGTCTCCTGGTCTGACCCGGTCTTGGACTGATATCCCACACGGAAGTCCTGCCAATCGGAGATGTTTATTAAAGGCCTTCAAAAGCAACACATTTGACCAAGTTCATGTTTAAGCTTATAAAAAGTGCACAAGTGAGAATATGTACGAGTAGATTTACCTGAGTGGAGTGCTGGAGGATGGCCACCAGGCGTTCCTGAATTCGGCGGATAAGCTCTAGGCCAGTGTTCAGGTGTTCAGGTTTCAGGAGCCGGACACAGGAAGCCAGATCGGTGCATTGCAGCAGGGTCTCCTCTGAAAACAAAACCACAAACTATTATACAATGCATCAGAATCATGAAACATAACTGAATTAGAGCAGGGTTCGCAAGTTGAGGAAAAACCAAAGTAAAATTCAAATAAATATATGATCTGCTATATTCACAGCATATGCATGGCTTTGAGTTTAATGCGTGCGCGCGCTGGGTTTACTTAATTTACACATACGCATCATTTTCCACATTTTTTTGTGGACAGAAGTTTACAGCATTTCATAAGTGTTTCGGAAAAATAAAAGCATTTTGAATATTTAAAACTCAAGGATTTGAACGTGTGAAAGTGAAACACGAATAGACAAATAGTGTAAATAAAATTAGAATTATCAAATATAAATTTATTTTACAGTATAATACAATTACTACAAACAGTAATCTATTTCTGTCTTCATTTTTATAATTAGAATTGAAATAATAATAATAGCAATTATTAAATTTGATTTGGTGAATTAAATGGAGACAAGAGTCCACTTTAAAGTCAAGCTACAAAATCAAAAAAGATTGGATATTTTGGTTACAAAATATTTTAAGGTGACGTAGTTACATTGTACTTACTCAAAT